GCCCCAACATTTTTCAGCCCCTGGTGTATTCACCCTATATAATCCCCAGGACAGTGAATACGGTAGATTTCACTCTCTTGATTTGGTTATAAGGCACAAGTATCCTTTAAATGGGGAGATTATTTGTGTGGGCCTCACCTAATCACATAAAGTACGTACAATAGAAAACAAGCAAAGAAATAATGTCTAACATATTTTCAAATTTCAGGAAAAAAACTATAAACTCAAAGAACCAAGAGACTAAGCAAAACCCAAGTATTAGAAACATGAAGAAAACTATCCTAGTGCATATTTTAAGTTGCTCAAAACTTGTGCTAATGCAAAAAAAAAAAAAACAAAACCTTAAATGCAGCCACAGAAGACCCACTCACCTACATTAGGGAGTCAAATACAAAATCTTCCTGAATCTTTCAAATAAAATATGAGGTTGCAAATAAATACCAGGATTGATTTAGACTATTTTCTTTACCCATCAGACTGCACCAATTCTATCTTTAGGGTGTACTATAAAAGAAGATTGTAGTAATTACCTCATTTGAATATCTTATAGATCTATTGAAGGGAAATATAATTACCATTTTGTAAAAAATTTAGAAACTGAGCTCTATTTGAACATATTTACTCATATGTTAAAATAAATAGTACCAAGAAGGGCAATTATACAATATTCCATGTGAAAGAATATGGTTCCTTTTTTTCTTTCTCTTGCCTTTTCTAAATGTGGAATCATGTTTCCTCTGAATTCCAAAAATAAATAAATAAATAAAAATTGGTTTTGGATAAAGAAACAAAGGATAGAATTGATTATATATATATAAAAAATATATAATTCATATTTAATGACATATGTATTTCCAATTACTTATATACTAAGCTGACTTGGAAACTGCTGGGACTTAACTGGCATAGATAAGTGGATAAAGAGAGAATATTAACATTAGGCAAAGCCAGAGAGATAAGAGGTCGACTACTAAGGTAAGGTTATCAGTGGTATCATGTCTTCCTGAGGAACATCATAAGCACAAGTTTGAATTGGACTGATTTTCTGTTATATTGACTTCAAGTATTGGTTGAAAATAAGAAATAGTTTCCAGCCTTTTGGGGGTAAGGCATTACTAAGAGCATCAGCTAATCACATTGGAGTTGAGAGCACAGCTCCAATGGGTGATAAGAAGCTGAAGATGAAACTCACAGTGAAGGCTGGGAATGTACAGGCAAGCACTGTGGTTCCAGCATACTCTGAGTTCTCATCATCTCACCCATGCTCTAGGTATATTGCAACAAAACAAGTTGTCAGCTCCATTATTGTGGGGTTAAAACTTTCTACTTTGATCTGCATTCACTGAACAACTTAGGCTGAGCCTGGCTCTGTGGATAACGTCGTCATTTCAAGAAATGTAATGACCACCATCAGCTGGCAATTGGGAGATGAATAATATAGGAGAAAAGAAGAGATTCTTGCTTTTACTAATCAATTATTTTTTAGTTCCCAAATATTCCTTTCTTAGAGAAAAAGGGGAAAGTTTAGACATGGGAAACACTGAGAAAAGTCAGACTAAATATTTTTAGAATATCCATTTATTTCTTATTATCACAAAATTTTTAGAATATCCATTTATTTCTTATTATCACAATTCAAGGAAATGATGTACCACTTTTTCACTTTTGAGAGAGAAACCGTTAATAAAATTGATCGTTAATGCTGAAGACTGTCATGAATTAGTCACTAGATAGAGGCATGTTTAAATTGCAAATTACTTTGAAAGTCATTAACCACCCCAAACTTAATAAAGTGAAATCTTCACACTATTAAAGAGAGTAACAGATGTTGTTTTTAATGTTTAATGAAAAATATTTATCTGCTGCTATAATCCAGTCCCGTCTCCCTGACCCCCCTCTTTTTTTTTTCCTGCTCTCCAGTTAGGTTTGTTATGTTTCATTTGAAAGCTCTTTTGCAAGATGATGAGTGCATTATTTTTTTACAATTGTGAAGGCTCAATCTTAGATAAATGTTATTTATAAAGGAGTTCTGCATACTGCATATTTGAGAGCAAGAGTCAGTTTCTAGAAATCTGTGTGAGTAAAATGGAGAGAAGGCATTTTTTTTTTTTTTTTTTTTCAAGTGAAGAGAAATTTCAAATGTCCAAATTAAAACAAAGTAGCATTTGAACCTTGACCTTACCATCTTTTTTGTCTCCAGCCAATATGGCAGATGAGGATGTAACCACAGAAAAGCATTCTAATTGGTGCAGCTTCAAGCCTTGAAAGATACTGCATGGTAACTGTGCCTTCTCTTAGATGATCTTTTTTTCCTTCTTGGATTATTTAAGGGGGACTAATTTTTTGAAACCCTAGGCAACAAGATCACAAGCAGTAAACAAAGTTTGTATCAAGAAAATAATGGTATTTCAATGTTAGGGAAAAACAATGTCATAGCCAGGAGGGAAGCAATCAGAACTTACACTGCTGCAATCTGGAAGCTTCTCCTCAGGACCTGTTTACCGCTGGTTCACTGTTCTCCCAAGCAGTATAATGTGCCAAAGAAGTGGCAGGTGGGAAGGTTATGTAAAAAACTGTCTCCATGACTTCGTTGACTACTGACATACAAAAAGAAATTGTAGAGACATTGAGCCTTCTGAAATAAAAAATGAAAATTAGGGTAATCCCCTCAACCAAGAGACGAAACTGGTCTCTATCTAAACAGACCTAAAGTGAATAATATTGTCTAGTGTGGATAGAGCTCCTTCTGATTAAAAAATGTGTCACAGCTTCCTTAATTTTGTGTAATAGTATGAAAAATATATCCTTGATTTCACCTTCTAGACTTGCAACTTTCTCCTAATTCTTTGCGTTCCAGGTTCAAGGAAGAAAAACAGCAATCATGAAGAGAGAGAAAGAGCAGCATAACAGATCATTACATTTATAGTAATGATTTGATTCTCAGAGCCAGGCTTAGCCCAAGTTGTTTAATGAATGCAAATCAAGGTAGAAGGTTTCAGCCCCAGCATGAGTGGAGTTGATAATTCGTTTTGTTGCAATATAGTTACAGGATATATATATTAGTCTCCCTGGAACATTCACTCCCATAAGAAAGGAACCATTTTTTCCCATCTATTAGGCAAATCTTGCAGATTGAAATATTAAACAATTAAAGTTTGTTGTTACGTTATACTGTGATGAAGTACCACAAGTATTCTTATCCTTGACCATAGATTAAAAGATCATAGCCTTCTGAGGAACTGCAAAATGACCTCTAAAATTGTGTGGAATATAAAGGCATTGCAGTCTAAAATAACTGTAAGTATCATTCCATTGTACAAATATTTACAGACTATGGTACTTAATATAGGCCAGGAGCTATGCCAAGTACTTTAGAGGGAAACACAAAGACGGCAAGCATAGCCCCTGACTTAAGGAAACTTCATGTTTAAGAGAAAGAGTAGACAAGTATACAAACTGTAATAGGCAGCAAAAAAAAGTTCATTTAGGCCAGGCACGGTGGCTCATGCCTGTAATCCCAGCACTTTGGGAGGCTGAGGCGGGCAGATCACGAGGTCAGGAGTTTGAGACCAGCCTGGCCAACATGGTGAAACCCCGTCTCTACTAAAAAAATACAAAAATTAGCCGGGCCTGGTGGCGTGTGCCTGTAAGCCCAGCTACTCAGGAGGTTGAGGCAGGAGAATTGCTTGAACCTGGGAGGTGGAGGTTGCAGTGAGCCGAGATCACACCACTGCACTTCAGCCTGGGTGACAGAGCAAGACTCCGTCTCAAAAAAAAAAAAAAAAAAGTTCATTTAGAGATAATCAAAGATGTAAGGATGTTCAGATCAGGAGCTCTTAAGTTCAGAGAAATATTACATGGACTTTGTGGACTGAACTTGGTTTCTCCAGGGAAGAGAAAATGTAGATGATCCAAGCTGGGGGAACAAAATGAACCAAAGCATCAAATTTGAAGTATTAGGATATTTGGAGTTGGCAAATTGTTCATTGACTTGTGGAGTATGCTGGTTGGGATGGCAAATATGAGAGCTGTTGACAAGAAAATTGTCCTGCTATGTATTTCTTCTATATATTACATTCATGACCTGTGTGTTTATTTATTTTGAACTCTTTCAAATGAAAGATGACATATGAATAGCCATTCTCTATAACTTGGTAAAATGTCCCCAAAGTGATAAAATCCTAGTGACCAGCATCTAGATCTAAGAATCATAGTACCATCATCCAGAAGCCCCCCAACCTCCATAGCCTCTTTTAGTCACACATCCCCCATAAAAATCATTATCCATTTTTATATGTACCATTGTATCACAGTAGTTTATTTTTAGAACTTAATATAAATAAAATATTAGATAAACTTGTATTTGACTTCTTTTACTGAAGATCTGTGTTTAGTGTAACTATAGCTTCTTCTTTTTATTGTTTATTAGTATTCAATTGTATAGAATTGTAAGAATGATCTATTGCTGATGAACATTTGGTTTTTTAATTTGTTTTAATCTTAACTTTTCAATCAAATAAATGTGTTAAAAACAACTCAATTTCAAAATGGTTAAATGAACGCAGTGACTGATTAACTTAAATGTATACATAATCACCTACATACCATATTCAAGTATGAACAATAATCAGCAATTTTCCTTATTAGTGATGAGTCATAACTCCAATTTGAGGACTGGGAAGTAATTGGGTCACTTCTGTGTCCTGTTTATCTCTTCTGTGGTCACCTGACTAGCTCAGTTGGTAAAGCCTGAGACTCGTAACCTCTTCTAGTTTGTTTCATACTCTAGTCTGTGTTGACCTCTTTGAATTCTGCACTGTCATTCCTGATTGGAAAGGTCCTCAGATGCATTATAAACATTGTATTCTTGTGTTAGAGGATGTTTTGCCTCAACCGCAAAACATCAGGTATTTCTACTATGTTATGTAAACAAACAACCAAAAAAACTCCTTGCACGCATTTTGTTTTCCAATTCCAGAATAACTCTGTTGAAAATTTACCTCACTCGCTCTGATGAAGGAGAGTGTTATCTTTCTCTTGAGAAAGCTCTGTGTTTTGAGAAGGAACAACTAACTTTCAGATTGCCATCTGGAAGGTTTCTCACTCAGGAAACTTATCCAAATTCCCCCTCTATTGTCCTCAAAAGGATCGTCCATCCATGGCTCTGTGATTCTCGCTGTGTCTTGCACTGTTAATGTTTTTCTGGGGGAAAGTAACATTTCTTAGGATCATAGGCAGCGCTTCCCATCTCAGTTACCAATCATGATCATTACCTCCGTCAACCCCTGATATCTGCTTTTATAAATTTTGAGGGGAATAGAAAGGAAAGACCAAGAAAATGCAGAAAGTGGAGGGGAGTGCTTTCACCATACATTGTATGTATCTTCAGAGATTCAGTAAGAGGATGAAAGGCTGCTGGGCAAGTGACTCCGTGGGAGCTCCAAACCCTAGTTGTACTTGACAAAAATGATTATTTAATTTTTTATTTTCAATTTTACAGATTAAAAAAAGGATGGCAGAGTGAGACACTTCCCTTTTTATTCATTCTCGCTACTGTGCAACTATGAGTTTCCGAGAAGTTATAAGGTTGACTTCATATCATCCATCCCAGTTACAATTCCACTGTGCATAAACACACTTAATGGATTATATAACTACTGTATAAAAAGATGTATTAATTCCTTGGGTGGGACTTGCAGTTGATCTGGAACTTAAATGCACTAATAATATTTCCAATATAATATATGAATATATGTCCTCTGGGTATAGGACAAATATCTTAAGGAGAAACAGTGTTATCATTCTTAATACATACCAGAATTTTTTTAATGGAATTTTACTGTAATAAACAGCTTATTACAGAAAAACACTTTCTCTGAATATAATGTATCTTATTATAATGCTCAGTATAGCATCATGGTTTTTTTTATTATTTCCAAATAACATAGAAGAAGTTGGATTTAATCTAGTAAGAATTGCAACACAATTTCTATAGTCAGTAGCTCAGTAATGAATTCATGTGAATTTGAATGTCCATTTCTGAGCTACTTACTCTAATTCTAAAAATGTTTATTGAGTGTTAAGTATATGGCGTGTCAGATCATGAAAGTATAAAGCAAATTAAGTCAATTATCCTATATTTCAAGGAATTTATGGTATAAACTAGTAGACAGTAAAAAACATAAAATCATCATGGTGACATACATTTCATGATGGAGATACATAGCTTCCATGGGAAACCAGAGAGGAAGATTTTTGTTTGCTTGTTATTTTTATGTGTATATATGTGGGGGGGGGGGGGTGTATTTTTACAGATATATGCTTATACAATCAAAGTTTTATGTGCAAAAGCCTGAGATGTATGGCTTTGGAAAACAGGATAAGTTTTAGGAAGTAAACATTGGAGGGGAGAGGCAGTCAAGAGATAAACTTGATCTTATTGATCTTCAGAGAAGTCCTAACTTTTAGACATTATTAACCATATTTCACAGAAGTCGTGGTACTGATTCCTGGCCAAATCTGCTGTATACAAAAGCCTATTCAATCTTTTACTCTATACAACTGAGATATTAAATTGGAAGTTATTTATTTTAATAACATAATTTTTCTATATAATGCTTCACAATTCCAAAGCATCTTCACATAAATTGCCTTATTTTAAACTCATAACCACCTTGTGAAGCAGAAGGTAAGCATATTTATTCCCATTTACACATGAGGGAACAAAGGCTTAGTGTAATAAGAACTGGCGCAAGATTATCACACATTTATGGAGTAAAATCTAAGTCATTTTATTCCCAATTTTGCAAACTTTTATTCTCTGTTTCTTAGTGTCATAGTTACTATGATAAAATGAGCAGTCATGACTGCATATTTATTCTTACATACAATTTGTAACATCTTCTTTTAAGAGTATAATTAATAAAATTTTTAAAACCAGGACTTGAACTAGGTGAATTCAGAGGATAGAGGACAAGCTGGCACACATAGTGAAAAATGTAGAATGCAAGAAAAGGCCCAAGTGCTCCGAATGGATGGGGATAGCTTAAAGAAATTGTCACACGGAGTTTAGCTTGTAGCTGGGAAAGTAACTTTTTCAAATGGCTTCATGAACCATCTCCTATATATAAGCAGAACAGAATATACCAACATGTCTAAACACACATGCCTGTTTGAGTCCTTTGATAACACTATTACTAGTTGTTTCCTCTACAAGGTTAGGTTGGATTTGGCCAGTTAATTGAAACTGAAGAAAACAAAATCTAAACAGATTACATGGGAGCTCAAATTTGAAGGAGGGATTCATTTAGGGAACATGCATTCAACTAGCCAATGTTAACATGCAGGACCACGTTAGACATATGAGAAATAATCCTACACAATTTTCAGTCCTGTCAGCTATAGCTAAGGAGTTATGGTGAATACTATAAAGTTAGGTCAATCACCTATATATTGGGACTGACAGTTATTAAGGAGAGCTAATGTGTTGATCCAAGTGATATTTAAAAACCACAGTTAGATTAGTTTAGATGAGGTTGTAATTCCCATTTTCATCATGAATTTTATTTTCCTTTGTCAAAGATGTAATAATACTGAATAGACTTTAAATGATTTAAAGCCTCATAATAATTTCACTGTTCATATCTCATTAATTACTTAACATTATAATGATGGCCTACCTCATAAATAGAAATACAAAAATAGACGACAATGATAGAATATAGCCCTTGCTTTTTGCTGAGATAAATTTGAAGAGATCACAATATTGAAGATATTTCAATACTTAACATGCAAAGAAAAGAAAAACTTGCAAAAATTAAATTCAGTCCTTATTATATGATTAAAAGAATGATAATTTTGCAAAGCATTATAGAATCTTTTTCTCTCAGGTCTACATTTTTTTCTGGCATGTCTTTCAATTGTGCTAAAAGCAAATTCAGTACATCCTATGTTTTGTCATGTAGGGTGTCATATTGTCTCCTTCATAGCACTGCTGTAAATACATGAGGAGAAGAAACATTGAAGTAGCAAATAGGGCGTGTGTGTGTATGTGTGTGTGTGTGTGTGTGTGTGTGTGTATTTACCACAAAGTTAATATAAGTTTAAGTACTATAACTACTACAGAACTCTAATTCTCAAACTGGATTTTATATCAGAATAGTCTTAGAAGTTGTCAAGATGTAGGTTTTGTGGCCCTACTTTCTTCCTACCAAATCAGAACATCACTGTTGCGGTGCCCATAAACCTATATTTGCAATACTCTCCATGGTGATTCTGATGTGCTGCTGGATTTGAGGACCACTGATAAGATATTCATATCAAATATTAAATGTGTGTACATAATTAGTACTGAAAATACATGTGATGTTTCTTTGAAATTGTAAAATATCTAAAATAATGGTTTTAGAAGTAACTCCATGCCCAACATCACCATGGTAAATGCTGCAAAGTATTAAATACCTAGCATAGTGCCTCTTAACAGCTCATCGTGCTGGCTTGGGTCATAGGTGATAGTTAGCAAGAAAATTATCAAACGTGAACTGGATTATCAAATGAAAACTTGATGAACTCTTCTATACTGCAGGAAAAGGGGAAGAGTGACTTCAGGGTAAAGAGCAAATGTCATCAGCTCAGCAGTAGCCCAAAGACCCCCTTCAGTGTTTTCCACATCCCTTCATGTAATTATGGTAATTATCATTGATTATGCTCAAAGTTTTTTCTAGATAGTCTTTTAAACATTTGCATAGATTATAATTACATAATTCTCACCAAAAATATTATATGTTATTAAATCCATGTTACAATCTGGAAAACTGAGGGTTTCACAGAGACCTGTATTTTGTAACTACTAAGATAATACAGTAACTACAAAATACAGTTACTACAGATAATACAGTTACTGTAAAAATACAGTAACTCTACAGGTAACAATGATAACAAAAGGTTGTCTTCAAAAACATAGATAACACAACTAACAGCAAAATAGCAGACTTACTTTCCTCATTGCCAGAGTACAAGGACTCCTTCTCCCATACTTCTTCCCATGCCTCTGAAGTTCTTGGTTCAATGAAGGTTAGCCTACTTAACTTTGGGACCACATCGATCAGGTACTGCAGGGCCAGTGGGCAGTAGAGACCTTCTATTAAGTTTTCTTATGAGTCACTGGTGAAGCATAGGAGTTCCCTGCCTCTGGCACTCTATAGAAAAAAAAAAAAAAAAAGGAACAAAAGAAAACAGGCAATTCGCCCCTGTCACATAGATTAATCAAGAAAGCCATAACCTTTGTATATTTAGTTTGTCTCTGATAAGGGGAAAAAGGCATTATGATAGATACAGACAGGAATCACTTCAATCATCTTTAAATGTCTTAGGACGTAAGGCAAGGGGCTTAATGCTTTCATTTAACACATATATTCTTTTTCTCTTGAAGTTTCTGTAATTATTACCTGTGCTCCTTCTATCACGCTGTATTGTGAAAACTTCAGAGAAAAGAAGCGAGTTCTATAGATCAAAGAAAAAATTGACTGGAAAAAAAAAGGATTGTCTTTCTACTAAACACACACACATATTCTGTTGTTATGGCAACATAAGATCTAAGAATGGCACACCAAATAATATGGTACCAAGGCACATTATTATACTGTCATCAAATGTCACAATAAATGTGCTTCAGCTCCTGAATATAACATACAGTATTGTTTTCTGTTCTTCTCAGTACTTTCACTTGAGGTCAAAGCAACTTTTTTGAATGAAGACCAAATATCATCCATTGCCCTTCTTGGTAAATCTTTCTTGCATAAAGATATCCCACTAATTTGACTGAAAATATATTCAGTAGATTAAAAATTGGGCTATTTCTTCTGTTTCCTAAGGGAACAACTGTTTATCCTTCAAAACCCATTACACTGTATCTATATAGCAATATGCTTAGCTGAGGAATTCGTTTGTGTGTGTGTGTAGTGTATATATATATGTGTGTGTGTGTGTGTGTGTGTGTGTATGTATAAATAACTTTTATTGACTAAAAATTGGCTACAAATATGTAGACAAAGTAAATCATACTGATTTAGATAAAACAGATTGGTTTAGTATATCTTCCCACATGCTTTTAATCTTTAAAAATATATTTATGTAAGAGAGCAGTGGTGGAAATTTTACCATTTTTTGGATGGTGCTGCAAATTATAGAGTTGCTTTATTCTTCATATTTTCTCTAATATCCTGATATGCATATGTATGTTAGTGTTCTATTATGGTATTGACTCACAACCATACCATGTGACTTTGCCAATGGAAAGACAAAAAAAAAAAAAAAGAGGAAGGATGGGTTACAAGTCAGCAGCATTTTTCTGCAGAACAATATGGAGAGATTGCAACAACAGTGAAAAGGTGAGTTATCTAGGAGGTTTTAGAAATGATAGGAAAAGATCACACATTTTAAACAAGCATGAAGTACTGAGAACTAACATGGGGAGGGTCTGAAATTGGCATTAGGGACTGTTTCCTCTTTCATGTAGGAGCAGAAGAGGAATAAAAAGGAAAGGCTAGGTTGAAGTAGAAAATGAGGTTTCAAAGATGTGTCCTTGGGTGTATGTCACCCTCATGCCTTACTGCCCTTCCACCCCTGATATTTCACTCTAATTATGCACCTATATGTTTTTATTTTTAAACCAAGAAGTTGTCACCAAAATACAGAAAAATGCAGATGACCCCCAACTTACTATAATTTGACTCACGATTTTTTTGACTGCAATAGTGTGGAAGCAATACCCATTCATTAGAAACCATACTTGGAGTACCCATAGAACCATTCTGCTTTTCATTTTCAGCTCAATGTCCAATAAATTACAAGAGATATGCAACACTTTATTGTAAAATAGGCCCTGTGTTAGATTACTTTGCCCAACTGTGGGCTACAGTAAATGTTCTGAGCACTTTTAAGGTAGGCTATGCTAAGCTATGATGTTCAATAGGTTAGGGGCATTACATGTATTTTTAACTTAGGATCTTTTCAAGTTATGTTGTGTTTTTCAGGACGCACCCTCATCATAAGTCAAGGAGCTTCTGCAGATTTCTGAATTGTACCAGTCCATTTCCAGAGTATTCTACATTTATCGCTAGGAGCTCATTTCAACAGAAAAATAAATCCATAAAATTGCCATTCAGTTAGTGTCAGCTAATTCTGCTGCTCTGTCCCTATTTATTTGAAAAATGTGCTATCCCACAACACAGTATATTTGTGAGTGAACTAAATTAAGGGTGATAATACTGAACCTACTAATTTAAAATATATTCTGGGGCTCTTAGCTTAGTCAAACATATTTAATGTTTCTCTTCTCAATATTATTCTCTCCAACTACCCATTTCAAGAAATAATTTAACACTGAGTGGAGAGCTGTACACTGATAAAAGAGGTCTATTGTCCCCAAAGCATTTACTATCAGTTTACTCAGACTATCTTAAAATGCCAAAGAAAATGAAATTCCAACTCAGTAATTTAGCCATGTGCTAAATGTATTTTCTGATGAGATTGCTGCATATTACTGAAGTCCAAATTAGAAAGTCGGTGAAAATTGATTGGGAAATCTAAGGACTGCATTAAAAAGACAAAGGCATTAATGGAAATAACATGGACTTCAGTGAATGTTTGAAACAACATTTCAGAATTTTATTTTTATTTAGAAGTACAGGTTGTTGTGCAGCACCAAGTGTGTTCAAGCTACCTATAGAAATCTGGCAGGGGGACATGAAACCATCTTTGAAAACACCCACAAACATCTTTACAACTGTAGTTTATCTATCACTCATAAATACTTTGATGCAGGAAAGTTCCCAGGCACCCAGCTAGAGAGCATGTTAAATTTTGAAGCATCTTTATGGAACAGTTATGGGACTTGGGCTTAGCACCAGATGTCAAAATATCCATCAACTTTTGAAAGATTTTTCTGTCCTATGGAAAGACAAAGGAGGAAAAGGCAACACTCTTCTCAATTTTTCATTTTTAGGTTGTACTGGCACAGGTGTGCTGTTGTTCCCTGTGGTTTTACTGTTTAGCGATCATGTAGAACCTTAGATTTGAAAACACTCTCCCTCATTAATCATCAGTTCCTCACACTGTGATGTAGGCTCTACAGTGAGTTCCTCCTAACAGGGCTGAAAGGGAAGCTGAGGAGAGACAGCACCACACACACACACACACGCAAAAGTGTGCACAAGCACACACACAATTGATTTTGTAATTTCTAACATTCATTTATTGGCCTGTTCTATATATTCAATAAATGACTAAATACCATCAGAATTGACACTAATATATAATTACATGTAATTGTAAAAGGGGGTGATTACATTTATGGGTAATGTTCTTAGTTTATTTAGTTACATGAATACCGTTGACTTATAGTAGAAGAAGAATTTTAAGAACATTTATTTGCTTCCACAATCATTGCTTGGAAATATTCATCCCATTGATGTTCAGATATCCCCCTGCTGTCTTTTATATTCATCTACTTTCATTTTTCTTCTCATTCCATTTTCTTTCCCTCTTTGTTGCTGGAAGTCAGGGACCCTGAACGGAGGGACTGGCTGAAGCCATGGCAGAAGAACATAAATTGTGAAGATTTATTTCATGGACATTTATTAGTTCCCAAAAGTAATACTTTTATAATTTCTTATGCCTGTCTTTACTGCAATCTCTGAACATAAATTGTGAAGATTTCATGGACATTTATCACTTCCCCAATCAATACTCTTGTGATTTCCTATACCTGTCTTTTCTTTAATCTCTTAATCCCATCATCATCGTAAGCTGAGGATGAATGTCACCTCAGGACCCTGTGATGATTGCGGTAACTGCACAAATTGTTTAAACAATATGAAATCTGGGCACCTTGAAAAAAGATCAGTATAACAGCGATGTTCAGGGAACAAGGGAGATAGCCATTAGGTCTGGCTGCCTGAGAGCTGGGTGGAGCAGAGCCATATTTCTCTTCTTTCAAAAGTAAATTGGAGAAATATTGCTGAATTCTTGTTCTCAGCAAGGAACATCCCTGAGAAAGAGAATGTGTTCCCAAGAGGAGGTCTCTAAAATGGCCTCTTTGGGAACGTCTGTCTTTTACAGTTATAGATAAGGGATGAAATAAGCCCTGGTCCCCCATAGTGCTCCCAGGCTTATTAGGGCAAGGAAATTCCCGCCTAATAAATTTTGGTCAGACCAGTTGTCTGCTCTCAAACCCTGTCTCCTGATAATATGTTATCAATGACAATGTGTGCCTGAAACTTCATTAGCAATTTTAATTTCGCCCCGGTCCTGTGATCTTGCCCTGCCTCCACTTGCCTTGTGATATTTTATTGCCTTGTGAAACATGTGATCTCTGTGACCCACACCCTATTTGTACACCCCTCCCTTTTGAAAATCACTAATAAAAACTTGCTGGTTTTGCAGCTTGTGGGCATCACGGAAACTGCCGACATGTGATGTCTCCCCCAGACACCCAGCTTTAAAATTTCTGTCTTTTATACTCTTTCCCTTTATTTCTCAGACCAGCGAACACTTAGGGAAATAGAAAAGAACCTACGTGAAATAATGTTGAATTATCGGGGGCTGATTTCCCCCAAAACCTCTTAAAAAGACTTACTGTATACTGGGCCTTCTCACTTTCATTCTTCCTCTTTTAGTCTGTCTCCTCTGTGTGTTTCTCTTGCATTCCAATATTTTCACTCTTTTCTAACCATCTTTTCTACTTTCTGTACCATTCAGTGACATTACCTCTTGCCTATCACTTTTTTATTGCATTTATATTTATCTTTATCCTCTCATCTTTTTTACTCAGATATTTTTCGCCCTTCTGTGATAAATTTCTGTTTCTCCTATAATGGACATTTTTCCTTTCCTCTTATGTGAATGTTTCCCTTTCTTTTTTTCCCCATGATTAATATTTTCATCTCCCACATTTTTCTCAAATGCTAATTTTGCTTTCACTTCCTTTGTTTTCTCGTCCATTTGCCTTACCTTTATTGTTCTTTTTCTCTATTCTTATGAGAAAATATCCTCTTTATCATCATTTCTTGCATTTTCATTCATTGACTCTACACTATAGTCCCCTTCATAGATATTGCAGGTGGCACTACTAATTTCTCAGTCCTTAAAAGGTCATTTTCCTTAAGTGTCCTAGGGTTGATTTTAGATGTCATCGTAAGTCCTGCCTTATTGGTCTGCTCTATTTGTTGAATAAATTATTTACTCTAGTGAGAATTAACACTAATAAGTAATTACCTGTAATTATAAAAGGGTGATAATCATTTTGAGAGTTCGGATCCTTGGTTTATTTGATTGCATAAATACCTATTAACTCCAGTAGAATAAAATCATTGATATTGATTTAAAGGTAACCAAAGGTATTACCCTACCTTTGAGACTCTACAGTAGATTGAAATGACTAAATACTTATATATTTTCTTATCTTTAAATAGAGGTAATTAAATTTGATCACAATTTTTTCTTTACCACACTGCCTTTATTTTGCCAACAAAAAAATAACGTGCAATAATTCAGAAATCA